ACTATGGTTTAACTAATTGAAGACAAAATATAAAATTAGGAAAATTCTGTGTATGCATACATAGTATAAATATGTAGCATATATTATTAAAGTCTCATGAATTCTTAAAGTCAATAATGGTCTAGCCACCTTTTTCAGTCAAGTGTTATGATATTAACCATGTATGTACTGTATTATGAGAAATCATATATATACATATGTACAAAATAGAATAATTAGATAATTAACAATAAATAATATGAATAATTGAGCAATGGTTTTTGATGCTCATAATTGTACAAAATATATAAAGCACCTGATTGCAATAATTACATTTTTATATTGAAAATAACAGATTTTGTGATTTAGAATTAAAGGTATTGATGGCCTCGCTGTCAATAGAATTCAAAACTTGTAGATATATAGTATAGTATAAGTAGTTAGTAGTGCAAAAAGAGGAGGAAAATAGAAAAAAAAGCAGAAAAAAAAATAAAAAAAAATAAAAAAAAAGAAATAAAATAAAATAAAATAAAAAGGAAATTTTTATAAATAAAAAAAATTTTGTGCTGCATTGTCATATTGAACATCTTACGCATCTTGTTAAATAGAGTTTCATGAAATTTGTATGTGTAATACCCTTAACTTTTTTTACAATAGATAAGAAAAATCATAACTTCAGGGAATTTTTTCACTTGGTCACACCTAATAATCCAAAAGCAAATAAGAAGGTGGTCTGCCTTTTATATGTGTGAAAATATACCTTACCTATAGCGATTACAAAGCCTGAGTGCTTTGTTTCCAATAAAGCGAAACTATGTCGAAGTCATCTTTGAAATTGTCCAAATTTTAAAGAACAATATGCTACGAACGAAGTTTTAGAAATTATTGCATGCTCAGTATCTGAAGATGCTAAAAAGAAAAACAGTGAAGGTAATTATATTAAATAGTTTATTTTATAATTGCTTGTACAATATATTAATTATTGTTGTTAATAGCAAATGAAAACATTTCTGATTGTGAAGATGATATTTCTACTACCATTTCTGAGATATCAATATCCAATTCTCTATCTACTAATAAATCTGTTCTAATAAATCTACTCCATCTGCAAGCTTCTCTACTTCAAAAAAAAGACAAACATTTTTTGATAATTGTATTATATATCAACTATCTGAAAAGGATAATCAGCATTTCGAGAATTTGATCTTACATATGATTATATCAAATTTAAATAGTCTTTTTTTTACTTTTATAGAAAACCAAGAAACAAAAGATTTTTTAATTTTATAATACCAACTATAAAACTACCTAATCAGCAGGCAATAAGTAATCAAATTCTCCTAAAGGTTTCAACGAAATTAAATGAAGATATTTTAGAACGTGCATGTGCAGATAGGTTGGTATAACTGCAGTCTTCGATAGTTGGACAAACATAAAGCAGAAGCATCTTTTTGGTGTTGTCTTAATTATTTCTCAGAGTGTATCTTTAATTTGGAATGCATGTAATATCAGTAATCAATGGTCAAAAACTGAAAATATAAAAATTCTTATTAAAAGTGTAATAGATAATGCAGAAAAGAAAAGCATTTGAATTAACTGCTATGTATCAGATTCAGCTGGTGAGTAAGTGACAGCAAGGTACATTTAAGTATATATTAATATACTTATATTTATCTATAGATCTAGATTATTTTTTAATAAATGTTATAAACTTTTTTCTATAGACGACAGCTAAGAATCGAATATCCTAATAAGGTTTTATACCTTGTATAGCGCATCAAATGAACTTAGTTGTTGGTAATATTTTCAAAGAATCTGATGCATATAAGAGAATATTAAAAAACGCAATATGCATTGTAAGCTATTTTCATTTATCTCTCTATTTTACCGATTACTATGAGATAAGCAAAGGTCATGTTATAGATAAACCATCTCTCTTATTTCCTCAGCCGAGACACACTAAAACAGCATTTACTTTTGTTTTTATTCTATATTGAAAACCAAGACTGCGCTTAAGGTAGCATATTTTATAGTAAATTAAAATTTTTTACAAAGAAAATTTTGGTGCCAATTATGAAACATTAAAAAATTCTAATAAAAATTTTATTTAATTAGACATTGGCAACAAAATTTTTACCCACTAGAATCAGATTGGCTAGTATTTCTCAGAGTGGACTTTCGCGGCAACAATTTATAACAAGAAATTTTAATACAAGCAAAATGCTTCCACCTGATATTATTTCAATTATACAAAATTCCAATTTTTGGAGTCAACTTTATGAACTTCAGGATTTACTATATCCTTTGTGCTGTATACTAAATAAACTTCAGAAAGATGTTGCAAAACTGTATGAGATTGTATATTGTTTTAGATAGCTTATTAAGGTTTTTTAAACCTTAATGATGAAAATTTTGCAAATCATATGGTCACCTAATTAGAAAATCAGTAGGCTTAATGAGAACAGCCACTATTCTTACTGTCATTTGTTTTACATCTGAAATATCAGCTCTCCAAGTTTTCTTCTTGCATTTCTGGCCTTTTCTATACACATTTTAGTCAATAGTTGTATTATTATTACCATGTATGGTTCGAGAAAGTACTAATACACATTTTACGTGAATTTTTGTTATATCAGAGAGAAGCATTTCCTTTTAATAAAGAGACTTACAACCAGTTTGATGAAAATATTATTGATTTTTGGAATTCAGCAAAGGGCGTTGCACCAGAATTGTCTCATCTAGCCTTACAATTATTTGGAATATGCATTAATTCAGCTTCGGTTAAAAGGTTATGGTCAACTATGAATTTTTTGTATATGAACCGCCGAAATCGTTTACCAGTATGTACAAATATTTATTTTATTTTATTTTTTTATAGTATATAGTATTAATTTAAATTCATTATTTTAAGTATGAAAAAGTGCTAGCAATGAGCCAATTGCACGGTAATATACTAAGCAAGTGAAAATGTAGTAACATTGAAATATCTGAATGACAATATAAAAGAATTCACATTCCTATTCGATCTCAGGATGATAATCATCAGCAAAATTTAAAAGATGCTATATATCGATAGTAATCCCCTAGATTACAATTGATATACAACACCCCTGCCGATTATTATTGTTAGTGATTACTAACGATATATAACAAAAAATTTGTTAAATTTTTTTAAAATTTAACGTTAATTTTCTCGATAACTATCGATCTAAATCAGCTCAAATTTTTACCACATATAGTATATATATTCAACTATAATAT